AGCATGTGGACATTCAAGGGAAATCGAACGTCGACGAAAATCATTGAACAAATCGGCAGGAATGTTTCCTTGGACATCTTGGAGGCTTACTTGCGCTGGCTGAAAGCAGATTGAGACCTCCAGAATTCAAATGCTGCAGAACGACAGAACGATATCACAAAGTACCACCTCTCCTTGTACAATGTACGGGGTAAAGAGGGCTGCCCATTTTTCAGACGACCTCTTATCCAGTCTGCCTCGCGTTCTTCCTAGCCGAGCTCCGTCGCTTTCATCCGATTTGTCGCACCGAAAGCAATCGTGCGAATACCCTGTCGACGTCGAGTCGTCTCGAAAGGAAGTTATGCCACGTCACACTTAGAAGGCAGGGCGTGTTCAGGAAAATTGCACTGTGAAGCGAAGTTGTCAGTTTCTGTTCCCGCCATTTAGGAGATGCTGTTGAACAATCATTTGAACAAGCAACGCGAGTACTGCACATGCTGCCTGAAAAGAATCAAACTCGTGCAACAGGGTTTATTTCAACCCCTCTGTGTCTAGCTTTGATGGTTCTGTCGAACGTGCGGCTAAACCTCCGGAAGATACGTTAAGAAGACAATGCCTCTTCATTATTCCTCATCCATTTCCTCGGGCGCTGAAAATCGCAGCCCGTCTGATGTCTCAAACTAGCTGCAACGAGGCAGGGCTGGACCTAAACGGTGTTTTTGACGATTTCGTGGGCCGTTTTCGTTTCGATGTCGTTTTGCGGTAAAGGCGGATTCGAGACAAAAGCGAGGGAAAACGATAACAAAACGAAAACGAAAAACATCGCTTAGGTTCAGCCCTGCAACGAGAGCGTCGAAGTCCTTTAATCTCGCCTTGATGGCCTCTCTCCTGGTGCCGACTGGCGTGAACTCAGAGATTGACCGCGGCCGTTCTACCGCACCTATGCGTGCCTTTAACTCAGAAGCTACAGGGTGTCGCCGCCATTTGAGGGTGAGGATGAGTGGAGATGAAGGTGAGGTGCGGGTGAGGGTGAGGTGTGGGCGTGGGGAACAGCAAAGCACTCATGATATTCGAGGTCGTTGGTTCTGGAGTGCGCCTCGCGCTTGGCCCCTCCCGAGGCCAGTCGTGGCAGCACCCACAAGTCCCCAAGAGGCCCCAGGAGAGCCCCCAATCGGCGAAAACAGCTCCAGCTGCCCCCAAGATGGCCCAGGAAGGCCTCAAAAGGCCCCAAAGGGAGCTTTCCCCAGGAAAGCTCCAAGACGGCCCAAGAGATTCAGAATTCCCCGCACAATTGTGCATTTCCCCCCTGAGGTTGAGGCCTTCACATTCACTCATGGAGGGCCCAAGGGGACTTCAGGGGGAGTCCGAGACGCCCCAGGGCCATTCCAGGATGCCACACGAAGCCCGCAATAGATCACCAAGAGCACATGATAGCCGAATACGGCCGAAAAACAAAGTGACACAGGTCACGCAGGTCCCGCGGGTCGCTCAGGTCCAACAGATCGCACAGATGTCCCACAAGCCCCGCCAGTTATCACAAGCTCCACGGGCTGCACGGGCACAACAAGGCTCAACAGTTTCACAGTTTCACAGATCGCATCGTTGTATCCTACGCGCTCAGAGTATCGTACGGGGTCCGTCCGTCGGAGTAACTTGTGTGGCCTGGGGGACCCGCGGGCCCTGTGGGGCCTGTCGGACCAGTGAGGCCCCTGCAACTTGTGGGACTTGTGGGACCTGTGAGACCTGTGGGGCCAGAGCCTGAGCGGCTTGTGGGGTTTGTTGGACCTGTGGGGCCTGTGGGACTTGTGGGACTTGCGAGCCCTGTAGAACGTGTGGAACTTGCGGTGCTTGTCCGGTGTTCTTACAGGTATCCCGATGGCCTCCTGGGATTGATGCAATGAAGCGCGAGCCCCATAAACAAGGGGCTCCCGCTCGAGGTTGCCTCGAGATTCAGGTCGCCCAGTGTGCGAAATCGGGTGTTTGTTGCTGTTGCTGTTGCTGTTGTTGTTGTTGTTGTTGTTGTTGCTGCTGCTGTTGTTGTTGTTGTTGGTGGTGGTGTTGTTGTTGGTGGTGTTGGTGTTGGTGTTGTTGTTGTTGCTGCTGTTGTTGAACATTATTTCTTCTTAAGAATAATTATTGTTGGGACCCCTGGTGCGCGCCCCCCCCGCCGCGCCTAGGCCGCAGCCACGTTTTCATCATTTTCGTGAGGAAGCCTCAGGTAAAACGATGTGATCCAGATCCGGTTGTTTTGTTGACGCCCGCTTTCCCTTGCAAAAAACACTAAATGAAATTTCTTGTTCTAACATAACCAAACTTCAAGAATCCCTTGCAAAAAATAAGGTAAAGTGGACATTCGCGCGCGCAAGACGAAATCCTTCCAAAACCTTAGTTTTCGTAGCGATTTTAACATAAAAAAAAATAAAAAAAAAAAAAAAAAAAAAAAAAAAAAAAAAAAAAAAAAAATGGTTTTTCAAAAAAAAATGACAAAATTTCATCCCGCGCGCTCTTGCGGATTCGTAGGAAACCCAACACTTTTTAAACATTTCTGTCAAACGGGCTTTTGCGAGCAACTTTTTCGAACTTCTGCAACAACGGTTGCGCACCTGCCAGGGCCATCATCCCTGTCAAATAATACCATGCGGGACACATTCGTTTTTTCTTCGCGCGCGCACGCCGTCGTCGTCGGCCGCGGGGCCCTGAATAGTAGCCACGGTCGTCCGCATGCCACGAAGTGAAGTGTCCGAACGTCATAGGGCGGGAAGCTGGGTGTGGGTGGTGGCGAAGAGTCGTTTGGAAATTTGGTAGAGCTTGAACCGGCCCCCCCACAAAGTGGGGGTATTGCCCGCCTCCTATGAAAACCCTGGCACTGGTGAGAACGGAGTGTCCCCACGTGCTAGTAATTGTTGTTGTTGTTGTTGTTGTTGTTGAACATTATTAATTCTAAAGAATAATTATTGTTGGGCCCCCTGGTGCACGCCCCCCCCCCCGCGCCTAGGCCGCAGCCACATTTTCATAATTTTCGTGAGGAAGTCTCAGGTAAAACGATGTCATCCAGATCCGGTTGTTTTGTTGACGCCCGCTTTCCCTGTCAAAAAGCACTATAAAATGACATGTCTTGTTCTAACATAACCAAACTTCAAGAATCCTTTGCAAAAAATGCACGAAGTGCACACTCGCGCGCGCAAGATGAAATCCTTCCAAAACCTTAGTTTTCGTAGCGATTTTAACATAAAAACATGAAAAACCCAATGGTTTTTCAAAAAAAAAGTTTCAACAAATCATCTTGCGCGCTCTTGCGGATTTCTGAGGAAACCCAATATTTTTTCAACATTTCTGTCAAACGGGCTCTTGCGAGCAACTTTTTCACGTGCTTCGAACTTCTGCAACAACGGTTGCGCGCATGCCAGGGCCATCATCCCTGTCAAATAATACCATATTGGACACATTCGTTTTTTCTTCGCGCGCGCACGCCGTCGTCGTCGGCCGCGGGGCCCTGAATAGTAGCCACGGTCGTCCGCATGCCACGAAGTGAAGTGTCCGAACGTCATAGGGCGGGAAGCTGGGTGTGGGTGGTGGCGAAGAGTCGTTTGGAAATTTGGTAGAGCTTGAACCGGCCCCCCCACAAAGTGGGGGTATTGCCCGCCTCCTATGAAAACCCTGGCACTGGTGAGAACGGAGTGTCCCCAGTCTTAAATGATTGTTGTTGTTGTTGTTGTTGTTGTTGTTGTATGTGTCTCTCTCTCTTTGGCCGCCTCAGATTGGTAACACGACGCGTGAGTCCCATAGGGAGGTGGCTCCCGCTCTAGACTTCTTCGACAGTCAGGCTGCCGAGTGTGAGAAGCCGGGTGTTTTTACCAGTATCCCGATGGCCGCGTCGAGAGGGGGCCCCATAGGGAGGGGGCTCCCGCTCGAGACGTCCCCACGATTCACCGACAGACGAGGCTCCCGCTCGAGACTTCGTCAAGATGAATGTGTGAGTGTGTGAGTGCGTTCGATGAGGATGAGTATGATGATGACAGTCGATGATCATAATGATGACCGATGATTGGTGATGTTGATGATGTTGAAGTGTGAGAGGAGGGGTGAGGTAAAGATTGCGCGGGGTGTCTTGAAAAAAAACATCAATCCCATGTTGGATGTGGGGAAACAAAATGATGGCGAGAAGAGTGTCTCGTGTTTGGCCCGTCTCGCGGCCAGGCTGGCAGAGCCCACAGGCTTCGAAGAGGCCCCGAGAGAATACCAAATGGCCAGAGATAGCCCCAAGATGCTCCCGCGGAGGTCCAAGATTCTTTTTACAATGCCCCCGATATGCCCTCATCCGGATTTGTCGTCACCTTGCCTTTTTCTTCCGTCTGGGCGGCATCCGACCTTCTTGGCGTTCGACCATGAACCCTTGCAGCCTCCTCGCGGAAGGCCACCAGAAGCCGCCGAGGGCCACTGGAGACCGCGCCGAAGATCGTTGGAAGACCGCCGAAGACCGCTCAAGGCGGACGGGTAACAAGGGGCCCGTGGCCGAATACGCAGCACCCCAGGGTCGATTCGGTCGTTCCGATTCCATACCGAGCTCGCCCGATTCGACCCGATGCGAGTCCGACCTTCGAGCGATCCGATGCGGCCTGATGCCTGCACGGCTCAGCCGAGCACTTTGGTGCGGCCGAATCGATTCGATGCCGATGCCGTACCGATGCAGCCTGCTCCGACGCAGCTCCGATTCGATTCGGTATGCATAGGAGGAGGAGGAGGAGAGGAGGAGGAGGAGGAGGAGGAGGAGGAGGAGGAGGAGGAGGAGAGGAGGAGGAGGGAGGAGGAGGGGGAGGGGAGGGGGGGAAGGGGGGGAGGGGGAGGGGAGGGGGCGGGGGAGGAGGAGGAGGAGGAGGAGGAGGAGAGGAGGAGGAGGCGGAGGAGGGAGGAGGAGGAGGAGGAGGAGGAGGAGGAGGAGAGGAGGAGGCGGGGGAGGAGATGGAGGAGGAGGAGGAGGAGGAGGAGGAGGAGGAGGAGGAGGAGGAGGAGCTGCCCCGCAGGGCGAGCACGGCTGAGAGGTGGCCACCGTGCGGCCCTGCAACCGCCAGCGCCCTCCGCGCGGGTGCGCGACGCGCGGCTGTGTAGGAGCCGCGGGTTGGCGCCGCACGGTGGAGGGCTCGGGTCTGTCGCCGTCGTGTTGCCAGAGGTCCTTGGCATGCTCTCGCCCGTGTCCTGGTATCGCTCGGACGTGTGCACTTTTTTCTCGGCGGGGATCATTAAGGAGCATCCTGGATCATCCTGCGAAAAAAAAAAAAAAAGAAACACGCACGAAACCGAAAAAAACAGAGAATGGACGTCCGAGCGATGGCCAGGTGTTGTTTTTTAGACTAAGGAATGACAGGAGGTGTGGGGGGGTGGTTTCTGGCGCCGGGGATTCTCAACTGGGCCCCGGGGCCGTCGGAAAACGACTCGGGATGAGGAGCCGGTCCCCAAGAGTGGGCCCCGACTCGGGGGGCCCACCTCTGCGAAAAGATCACGACGTCGGATGTCTGGGGCTTTCGGCCGCCCTTGGGTGGTCACGCCGCTGCGGCTGGACATGGCTCGAGAGTCTGTCCAAGACGGGCCCCAGGAGGGGCCCAGGAGCCGCTCGTTTGAGCGGGTTCTTGGCGGACGGCAGTTGGCGGAGGCGGGGGTGGGGCCGCCTTGTTGGAGAGCCAGCGGGCGGACAGCTGTGGGTGTGCGTGGGCGGGCCTCCCCGATGCTCAAGCAGTGGCGTAGCGTGCTGGCGTGCCTATAGTCCTACCAAACACTGCTCTGAGAACCTTTCGTGGGTGGTTTCCAAGAAATGTTCTTAGAACATTTCTGGCTGGGACTGTCTTATTTTAACACATCTGGTTTATGTTCTAAGAACATGTTTTGGTTATTCGAACATGTTGGAGTTCTAGGAACATTTCGTGGTAGGACTATAGGAATGCAGGGACGGCCGGTCCCTGCTCAAGATGCGCCCGGCAGTTTGGGGGGAATTGGCGGGAGGGTTTCAGAGACCAGAGGACGCTAAGTATGCCCGATGAAGAATTGCATGTTAGCCGGCGCGGACCCCAAATAGTGTGCGAGACGCGTGGGGCATTCTACGCGGAGTAGTTTTGGTAGTGCAACGCATGTGGTACGATTTATGTTGTGCCATCGACGTGGTGCAATACATATGTTATATATACATGTTAAATATACATAAATATATATATATATATATATATATATGTATGTATATATGCGTTGTGCCATATATGAAAAGCAACCTAGGTGGTGCAGCCTGCGTGGTGCAGTCAATGTTGCGCAATAGATGTTCTCAAATATATGGTATGGAACCTATGGGGTGCAATATGTGTGGTGCAGCTTATGTTGTGCAATGTAATTCTGGAGCAGTTTGCGTTGTGCATTATACGTCGTGTAATCTAGAAGCGATGTGTATTGTGCAACATGTGTGGGCCATCCAGGGTGTGTAATCTATGTGGTGCAATGTTCATATGTGCATGCATGTTTAAAAGTATATATGGTGCAATGTTTGTTGTGCTTGTTGTGCAATATATTGCAAACTACGATGTAGTGCCGTATATGATGTGCAATGTATGTGGTGAAATCCACGTGGTGAAACGCGACCGGGCGGCGGCGGGGCGCAGACGGCGACAACATAGCCGCCAGACCGCCACCCAGGCCCAGACGACGGGCGGCGAAGGGGTTGCGACGGCAACGACATGGCCCAGACGACAGGCGGCGACGGGGCGGCGACGGCGGCGACATGGCCGCTGGATCGCCAGACAGGCCCAGTTCCTTAGACCGGGAGGAAAATAACAAGTGCAAGCACTGTCTGGGGAGTAAATCGACTAAACGTAAGGGTGACCTTTCGCCGGAGTGACCGTTGGTGCGGTCCGTTGGGGTCCCCCGATCGCCGAACGCGGTGCGATAGTAGCGTCTCGCGCGCTTGTGTTTGGCCCCCCCGCGGCTCCCAAGAGAGAGAGCGCCGCGGCCGTCATTTTTGCGGGTCCAGGTCCGTCGGTTTCGGTCCCAGGCCGCTTTCGTTAAGGGAGGTTTACTAAAGGGAGGTTTGTCCACCGCCGAATTTTGGGCCGTCATGGAGCACTTGTGACCGTCATGAAGGTTCTGTGGCAATGTCGGCGTGCCTGGTAGATCTTGCGTGCCAGATGAGTCCGCCGGCACGCCAAGAGGAGACCCCCTTCCCCTCCAAATCGGACGGACCGGTCTAGGGCTAGGATCGGGATAAATCGCTCCAGAGCGTTCCGGAGCGCTCTCAGAGCGTTCCCGAACGCTCTGGAGCGGCCGCGGCGCCCAATACATCCTCCAAACCCGCCGATTCTCAGAGATTTCGAGTTATCCCGATCCGATTTTGTCCCGATCTTCGCGTCGTTTTAGGGGGGGGAACAGCTGTCTCGCACGCCGGATGGGACGGACCCCAACGAACTGACTGCAGCCGTGCCTGCGCGTCGCAGGACTGCGTCAAATCAGTGCAGCGCCACGCGCAAGTGCGCACAGACGCCAAGAGGAGACCCCTCCTCCTCCTCCTCCTCCTCCTCCTCCTCCTCCTCCTCCTCCTCCTCCCTTCCCCTCCAAATCGGACGGACCGGTCTTTCGGGAAGGGGTCCGGGGCCCGGGGGAGGAACAGCTGTCTCACACGCGGGATAGCACGGACCCTAACGAGCTGACTGCAGCCGTGCCTGCGCGTCGCAGGACGGAGTCAAATCAGTTCAGCGCCATGCGCAAGTGCGCAGAGACAGAGGCCATGCCGATTCCTTCGGTCTGATTCGATCTCGATTTCGGCTGGCCTGATCCGATCCCATACCGATGGGAAAAAATACACTGTGGGGGAGGGGGGAACAAAAAAAACGTGTGTGTTTTCACACTGTGTGTTTTTGTTTCACACTGTGGGAAAACACACACACTGTGGGAAAAAAAAACACTGTGTGTTTTTTGTTCCCACAGTGTGTTTGTTTCACACAGTGTGTTTTTTGTCCCACAGACTGTGTGTGTGTTTTTCCCCACAGTGTGTGTTTTTCCCATGTGTGTTTTTCCCACTGACGACCCGATGCGGCCCGACGTGTGCCTGGCTCGGCTGCGAGTGCCTGGGGTGGCCGATTCGATGTTCGATTCCGACTCCGTGCCGAGGCGGCCCCCACTCTCGGCGCCCGCCGAACTATCCGCCCCGGTGGATCGGTTGCAATGTTGACCGCTCCCAGGCGCCAGCGACGGAGGGGAGGAGGAGGAGGAGGAGGAGGAGGAGGACCATCGAGGACGTGTGGATTTTTCCTTCGGCGAGGACCATCGAAGAGCATCCTGGATCATTTGGCCGAAAAAAACACGCACCGAGCCGAAAAAAAAAACACATGGAAGGGACGTCCGAGCGATGGCCAGGCTAGCGACGGAGGGGAAGGGGAGCAGAGGAGACCACAGGGGGTCGGCGAATTCTTGCCGCGAGTCACCGCTGCCTCTTGCCTCGCCCACCGACCCTCCGCATTCAGGCCGCGCGCCTCTGGGCCCGCGGCTTGCAGCGGAGCAGGAAAAGAACGTTCGCGGGCCGCGCGCATCTCTGGGTCTCGTGATGCGGACGACCCGCCGAGATCAACCCAGAGAGTTCTCTTCAGGAAGCGCAGGCATGGAGTAAGGCAGGTGGAAGACGTAGCGACGCGCCCCGCTTCCATGCAACATCGACGCGCTCCGTCGCCAGATCGGTCGGCGTTGGCTTCATGGTCTGGCGCCCACGCGCCAGATCCACAGATCCGTCATCCAGGAGTGCGCACGGCATTGGGCAGCAGTGTTCCCTTTGGTTGACAGTTACGCTGAGTACGACTGAGGAGCAGCAGAGACTGAGTCAGCAAGAAGAGGAACCAGCAGCATCACTAGTGATGGTAGCAGGAGGGCGAGGACGGCGATGAAGGCACAGTTGGACTTCCGCTGCAGTCCTCGATTAAGTTCATTGCGAGGCGTGCGTTTCTCGCTATCTGGTGGCCTTCGGCACATCCCACCACGGTGCGTGGGTCGTGGACCAAGGGCCGCTTCGAGTACATGTTGGGGTTTCGCATCTTCGGGGTCTCTTCAAGATCTCTTGGGGGGAGCGTCTGCTGGTGATCGCGGGGCCCATCGTGAGATGGAGGGTTCCAAATGTAGTTTCGAGTTCCTCATTTGGGGCAGTCTTACGGACCTCTTGGAGGCCTCTTCGCCCCATCTTGGGTCTTCGGGGCTTGGGGGCCGTTACGGCGGGATCTCGAGAGCCGGTTGGGCCATCTTGGACGTTGTGAAGACTGAGAAAATGCGTTTACAGAAATCATTCGAAATCAAACATGGTTTTTCTATGATCTGGGAGTCTTGGGGCAGCCCCAGGAAACCTCCCAGGAGATAGGTCCCAAACGAGCCCCAAGACGAGCCCCAGTGGCAACATTAGAGCACGTTGCAAGTTCGGATCTGCGTTCCGGAGGCCCTTGGAAAAGTCGCGCGCGAAGCACAGCAAATCCCCGGGAGCGCCTGTGATTTGGGGGCCTGCTCCTCTCCGCAAGTAGTGCAGTGCTTCACACGGAGTTGCCGAGGACACTCCGCTCAGTGCTTGCCGCATGGTGCCGGTTGTGTTGGAGGGGTCGTGGCCTCGGGGGCGCAAACGAGTTCGCGAGAGGCCAGGACAGGTGAGGACACCTGGGGGAGGAGGAGGAGGAGGAGGAGGAGGAGGACCGTAGCCATTTTGGCTCAAAGGGCCTGCTCCTGAACTTCCAACCTCGCTCGAGAGATTGAGGCTTGTTTGTTTGCAGCATCCCCACGAGACATCGTGGCCAGAGGTTCGCGACCTCACCTACAATCATACCTTTCCAAAGTCAGTTTGCTCTGCCTCCCCGCCAGCGCGCATGGTGGGCTGGGGATGCAGAGGGTGCAATGTGTGGAACCGTGGCGCCAAAGCCAAGTGCTTCAGTTGCGGCTCCTATCGACCCGACGGACCAGGCCCAGCATACGTGGACCCGCAGCCCCCGCAAGGAGTTTGGACTCTCGTCGCAGGTCGTCGTCGCCAGGCTAAACCCCAGCAAGTCCTCCCACCTTGGGCCCATCGTGACACCGTTCGCGGACTAGGACCAGGACAATGAGGAGGAGGCAAGGGCTGGGACAAGCAGGGTGGCAACAAAGGAGGAGGTAAAGGAGGAGGAGGGCAGTCTCCCCCCTTTTCCGAGCAGCAGATGGAGTTCTGGGTGGAGATGCCAGAGGAGAAATGGCAGATCGGAAGCACGTCCCTCACCCAGAGCCAGCGTGACAAAGTTGCATACCGCCGTCGTTTGCGAGCGGCGGGAATGCAGGACCCGTCTCAGAACAAGGATGTTCCCCCTCAAGCTCGGTCAGCCCAATTCAAAGTTCTCCAGGCAGAGCAGCGAGCCGAGACAGCCAGGGCAGCAGCAGCAGAGGCAGCAGCGGCGGTCCTGGAGTCCGAAGACCTTTTGGATCAAGCACGGAAGGAGCTCGACAATGCCAAACGTGAAGCAACCCAGAGGTTGGGCACAGGGCCAACGGTGGTTCAGGCCATCCCCGCTGAGCTCTGGGCAGGCCTCGACACGTTGGCGGCGTTGCTTGGCAAAGTCCTCACCCCGTCTGAAGGCGAGCCCACCGAGGAGGCCAAGCAGGCGAAGGAGGCGCTCCAGAAGCTCACGAGCCTCAAGCCCAAGCCTGAAGTTCCTGGTGGTGGCACCGCTGCTGGGGCTGATGGGGCTGGACATGGACAAGGCGCGGACGCAGGAGGCGCAGGATATGAGCACATGTCTGAGGCCCCAGACACTGAGGAAGTTGGAGGAGCTGACTCTGCCAAAAGAGCACGAGAGCTCATGGAGAAATGGACCGCAGAAGATAATGAACAGCAGCGGCAGGATGCAATGGTTGCCCTTTTCCAGGAGCTGGCAGCCAAACGCAGAAGGAAGCATGGGCAACATGAACCTGAAGTACATCGGCCCTCTCTGCTCTGGCCAAGGGCAGAGGACACATCTGGACGCTACACTCACTCCATATGGAGCAGAGAGCGCGTTCGAGTACCTCGGCCAGACTCACTCTCTTTCGTGGGAGCAGAGGACACATCAGGATGCTACAATCACTCCGCCAGGAGCAGAGAGCACGTTCCAGTACCTCGGCCAGACTCACTCCCCACTGGGGAGCAGAGGGCACATCTGGTCGCTACACTCACTCCCTAGGGAGCAGAGAGCGCGCTCGAGGACCGCAGCTCATCATAGAGGGCGAATGGCAGAGCCTACCTCGTCTTCGGCGGAGACATATCGTTCCCTGCCCGAGCCAGCCAAGTTCGCCAGGCCCCCGTCGGCAGGGGACTTTAATGCTCTGGGCTTCGGCCTTGCACCTTCGGGGCTGGCCGAGAGCGATGGCTTGGGCAGGGGGCGCGAGCCGCCCACGACACGAACCGCCAAGAGGGATGAGAAGGAGCTCAGCTTCTATTTCGCCAATGTTACGTCCTGGAACGACAAGGGGATGTCCTGCTTGCGGGATCAGACCAAGGCTCTCGCTCAAGCCTCGGTCGTCGGCATAGCTGAGCACCACCTGATGAAAGAAAAGCTCAATGAGATGAAGAAGAAGATCTCGAAATGCGGCAGGGCAAAAAGTCGGTCGCTGCAGTGCCAACATCGGGACAAAGAAGCAGAGGACATGGTGGCGTTTGGCTTCAGGTGCGGAAAGAGCTACACTGGCGCACCCTTCCCGACAAGAAGACAGACATCGATCAGTGGACGGCCATCACCCTGAGGATGCATGGCGTTGGCGACGTCACCTTCGTTGTGATGTACATGGCCAGTGGGGCAGGCTTGGCAGGACCCAACGCCGAGGTCATTTCAGCTGTGGCCACCTTCCTCAAAGTCCGAGGCCGACCGTTTCTAACCATGGCAGATTGGAGCATAGATATGGATGAAAGTGGACCAGATGCATATGTCAACCTATCTTGACGGTAGCTGGATGGCACCGACTGGAGATCACCCTGGAGGCCATCGCTTGATCGACTACTGCCTGGTCGCAAGCAGCATCAAGCACATGGTAAAGCTCGAGTGGGACCTGGAGGGTCCTTGGGCGTCACCACATGTCGGCATCAAGGGCACCCTCAAGGTCGGTGGCCAGAAGCTCATGAAGCGGATCATGGAGCAGCCGATCGAGTGCCAGCTGGCGCTTGGACCAGACCAACCTCGGCAGCATCACCTCGAGGCAGCACAGCAGCGCATCGACAAAGGCATGAGACACGGCAGCCCGAAGCAGCGCAAGCTGGGGGACGCAGACCACGTCTACATGGAGTTTGCGATGGCGACGGACAGCCTGCTCCTCGGGAGACAAGGCATTTTTGCTCCAGCAGTAGCTTTCCTCAGCGGGGAGTACCCTACCACGAAATTAGCCCCTGTCCAACCGACCAAGCCTCAAGGCTGGTTAGCGGAGTCGAACCTCCTAGCACAATGGAGTTGTCTGGGAGCTAGACTGCGCAATTTAATAGGTTAGAAGAAAGGGCGGGACGGGGGCGCTAGTTTAGGGGTGGTGGAGAGCATGCGGAAGCTGAGGGGGGGGGGGGGGGGGGGGGGCGGGGGGGGGGGGCTGGATGGCCAACCTCAGATTTTAAAAAGTGGCGTTGGTAAAACCTCCCTTGGGACCTTGGGCGAATCTGACACTCCCCTTGGTAGCCTTGGTGAGGAGCAGCTGCGTCGGAAGGCCGAGTCGGCCGACTGTCTTATCAAAGCGATCGAGAGCCACTACATTCGAGCCAGCTCCAAGCGTTTTAAGGAGTGGGTGCAGGCCTCTTTGAAGAAAGGGGCTGGAGCTGTGCATGGGCACACTAAGTGTTGGGGGACCCCAGAGAAGACCATCTCGGTAGAGCACGACACCTCTGGGGCCGCCACCGTTGAACCCATCGAAGCTGTACAGCAGAAAGCCAACTTCTGGATGGGCTTCTGGGGCAAGGGTAAGGGGCGGCCACAGGACCAGAGCTGGTGGAAGGATTTCAAATGCGCGGCCAAAGCGCACAGCCTCACCCTGGACCCCATAACAGTTGGAGAAGTGCAAGCTAGTTTGAAATGTTTCAGGCCCGCCATCGGGATGGGAGTTGACAAGGCCAACCCACGGTGGTGGCTCCAACTCCCGCAAGACGCGTTAGTCCACTTAACTTTTTTGCTCAACCTGGTTGAGCAAACTTTGCGGTGGTCAGATCAGGTTCTAATCAACTTGGCCCAGCTGATGTTTAAGTCTGAGCAGGCCGACAGGCCCACAACGCTGACCCAGGGAGTGCACCGAGCCTGGTCGCGAATAAGACGCTGGCATGTGGCAGACTGGGCAGCAGAAAAAGTGCAGTTCTGGGACAAGGCAGTTGCGGGCTCCAGCTCACTCAGGGCAGCCATCTTGAGACAGACGAAGTTGGAGATAGCCAGCCTGCAAGACTTTGCATGGAGTGAAGTGCTCTGGGATCTAGAGATTCTACGACACTATAGATCCAGAGCAGCTCTGGCACGTAGGAGCCAAGGTCAACTATCCCCTCACCCACCTTTTTTCGGAGGTGTCAGGCGGGGGGGGGGTCGTCTCAGAGCCGCTAGAGGCTTCCTCGGGC